AAGTAGATATATATATATATATATATATATATATATATATATATAATTTGTCTTAATAGCAGTCACTACTAGTTCATCTTAATTATAACCCCTTTGGGAGTTACCTTAATTGTAACATCAAAGATAATGGTTTAGTTTAACATTGACAAAAAAATGATGGCACATCATCCAAGTATGGCTTTAATTTCATATAATGCACATCATCCAAGTATGGCTTCAATTTCTCCACCTGAACAAGGTTCCTCTTTACTTGAGTGATTAGATGGGCAACCCCATCTTCCTTATGGTGGTTATTGAGACGTCACCATCATTAGGACCAAGCTGGTAGCCTTTGGTGTCAATCCCAACTTCCTCAATGACTTTGGTAAAGAGCATCCCATAAGGAATAGGTGCTCTTTTATTTTGCTCCTAGTCTTATTGGCTGAGACAAGACTTATAGTGATTGTAGATCAAATTGGGAAGATTTATCTTACAACTAAGGTTGAGGTGATACAGGCTGAAGTGGTCTAAGTCTGAAACATTATCCCTCGAACTAGACCTTGGGATAAATATGTTGAAGAGTGTATTGTGGAACATCCTATAGAGGGGCTTCAGATTCGTCAACCCTTGAGAACTTCTTCAACTGTGCTTTTTTAGAGGGGTGAGAGTTAGAGTAGATCAGTATGTCGACAGTTTCCTGGGTGATGATGTGTTCCCAGCCATCAAAGTAACACACATTATGTTCTTTGTAGCCAAAGGCGATAACAAGGATTAAGGGGTTAACCCTAAGCACTATTTAGTCCACCTGACCAACAATGGCATGAGCTTCTTGGTGAGCAAATGTCTATAAGTATACATATGGTGCACGATACCATTCCTATTTGAGTTCAGCAAACTCAGTCCATCCAGCCTTATCCAAGTACAGCTTGACTGGATAACCATCATCCTACCTTTTATGTATAGTAACATTTTTTCCATGGAGAAATGCAGGCTTTGGGTATTCTTCCATTGGGACCCTATTGTCGTGAGCAATGGCAGTCTTAGGGGCCATTTGTGATGGAAGGGTAGGTTTTATTTGAGAAGATGAATATTTGTGGTTTTATAGAGAACACAAGAGTGGGAGAAAAATTTTAAAGCTTGAAGAAAAATAGTTAAGTGTTTGAAATGTGAGAGAGAGAAAAGGGTAGTCTATGAGTCATAGTTCATAGACTAAATGGACAATAAAGGGTAGGACATGCTGACAAGACGCACATGTATCGTTCCTATTATTGAAAAAACCCTAAATGTTTCAAAAATTAAGATAGTTAATAATGTTAAGCATTAAAAAGCATTCAATACACATGATGCCTTTTCAAAACAAGATGATATGCTAATGTACATATTTGAATATAAAGTATGCAAACATTAATGTATGTCCATGTAGGCAAAAAATGATGCATGTTAGATGAAGCATGGTAAGACAATGCACCAAAAAGTAAGACAATGCAACATTTTTTATTATAAAATACATTTTAGATTTAGATGGTCTCTCATGAATCTAAAACGTTTCTCATCTAAAACCTTTGTAAAAATATTAGTCCATTGGTGATCATCATCTATAAATTTTATATCAACAACTCCTTTTAAACATAATCATGAATTAAATGATATCTTATTTTAATGTGCTTAGCCTTGGAATGTTATATAGGATTTTTCAAAATATTTATGGAACTTATGTTATTACAAAAAACAAGTATATGATTTTCAAGACTAGAATAGTTTTCTAAATGATGCTTCACCTATAGAAGCTTTGATAACACCTTGTTGCATAAATGTACTATACCCCTATAATGGAGAAAGCTTTGATTTTTTCTTTCAATTTTGTCTCCAACATAGTCTGCATCATAGAATCCTGCTAACCTGAAATCATTGTTTTTCTCATAGAACAAACAGAGATTAGTAAAACCTACAAGATATCTAAAGATAGGGTTTACAACTTTAAGATGAGACTCTTTAGGATCAAACTAAAATCTAGCACATAGGCATACACTAAACATGATGTGAATTTTGCTTGTAGTCTGGTAAGAAAGGGATATCCAATAATATCTTTATAGATTGTCTGATCTACTAGTTTACCTGATTCATCTTTAGACAAACCCATAGACAAATGCATAGGTGTATGCATTGGTTTGCATTCATTCATCTTAAACTTTAAGAGAAACTTTTTTTTATATTTTTTGTAAATGAATGAAGATTTTTCATCTGTTTATTTGATATATGAAGCCTTATGATGAACTTCAGCTCACTCATCATGCTCATTTCAAACTGGTTCTACATTAACTTAGAAAATCCTTACATAAAAATTCATTAGTAGTACCAAAAATGATATCATCAACATAAATTTGCATAACTATAAAATTTGTTCCAAATTCTTTTCTAAAAAGAGTTGTGTTAACATTGTCTCTCACAGAATCATTATTTAGAAGAAAACTGTTTAATCTTTCATACCAAGCTCTAGGAGATTATTTCATACCATAAAGAGTATTTTTTTTAGTTTGAAAACATGTTTTTTTAAAATATGGATTTTCAAAACAAAGAGGTTGTTTAACATAAAATCTCTCTTCAATAATGTTGTTCAGAAAAATACTATATACATCCATTTGAAAAATTTTAATGTTTTTGTCAACTGTAAAAGCTAACATAATCCTAATATCTACAAGTCTAGTAACAGGTGCAAAGGTTTCAGTGAAATCTATACTTTCCTACTAATTGTAGCCTTGTGCTACTAACCTAGTTTTATTCCTTACCATTTTACCTTGCTCACCTAGCTTGTTCCTGAAAACCCATCTTGTTCCAATGATGCTTTAATGATCTGGTTTTGGGACCAAAGTTTGAACATCATTCCTCTCAAACTAATAGAGCTCTTCTTCCACTGCTAGTATCTAGTTATTGTCGCAAGGGCTTCGTTTATGCTCTTTGGTTTAATGTCTAACACCAAGGAATATGAGGCACTGTCTCTGAGAGCAAACCTTGTTCTGACACCTTCTGTCTTATCACTAGGAATCTAATCTTGTGGATGATAGTTGACAAACATCCAATCTCTATGAAATCTAACAACTTCGTCTGACTAATTCGTCTGCCTTTCTAGTGTAGCCATCGTCTGATTACTAACACCTGGCTCTTTTGACTTTTTTACATCGATTTGCAAATATACAAGTCCCTCTTCTAGATTTGATAGTTTCTTATTAGTCGCTAATGCATCATTGAATTTCACATGGATATATTTTTTTACCATAGAGTTTTAGAGTTAAAAACTCTTTATGCCTTTGAAGTATTTGAGTATCCAAGGAAGATACCTTTGTCTACTTTTGAATCAAACTTTCCAAGTTGATCCTTAGTATTTAAGACATAACACTCACATCCAAATGGATGAAAGTATGATATGTTGGGTCTTTTCCCCCTCCACAATTCATAAGGACTCTTGTTCATCAAAGGTCTTATCAATATTTTGTTTTGAATATAGAAAGTCGTGTTCACTGCTTCTACCTAGAAGTGTCTTAGTAAAGGATTTTTGCAAGGAAAAATTGTTGCCATTTCTTGCAAAGTTTGGTTCTTTCTTTCAACTATCCCATTTTGTTGAAGTGTTCTTGGTGAAGAGAAGTTGTG